AAGGAGCAGGGCCCTCCTATCCCTCTTGTATTGAACTGTATTGTTGCTGTATTGTCTCCCGTTATATTGTAAAGTGCTGAGCAAACTGTTGGCGCTATATAAATCCTGTATAATAATACTCCTAGATTGTAAGCTCCAAGGAGCAGGGCCCTCCGAACCCTCTTGTATTGAACTGTATTGTTGCTGTATTGTCTCCTGTTATATTGTAAAGCTCTGAGCAAACTGTTGGTGCTCTATAAATTCTGTATAATAATAATAATAATTATTATTATTAATTATTATTAAGCCCCTGTTCACATCAGAACGCAGTGCGGGAAACCTACCCTCCCTGCATGTTTCCTACACTTCGTTCCAAACGCACTGAGTGTGCATTCTGCTGTGCGTGTCAATAATTCATAACGACACCCCAAACACAGATTGCAAACGCAGTTCAGTACCATGAGACCCAATTCCAGCACATTTTTAAAAGTAGCGCTTGCACTATTTTTGGTGTGATCCAGTGTGATTTCAGCCCATTCAAATGAAGGGGCTGAAAATCCCATCGCACTGATCACACAGGAACATGAAGTGTGTTTCTATGTGATTCTGGCATGAACCAAAACTAAACGATAAATAAAGAATAGAAATTAGATACTGGTATTTATTTTAAGTAAACAATGTTCAGGATTAAAAAAAAACATTTCCAGGTTTACAATTTCAAGACATCATCGTAAACATTTTATTAAGTTTTAAAACCACCTGCTTTTCCAGTTCAGTAAACTTGTGTCATAGTTCTGGGATTGGTACCTGAGACCATGTAAGTATTTGCAAGACACATTCTCTTTAAAGAAGCAAATAGCTTTTTATTAAATAAATAAATAAAATTCTGTCCTGGCAATCTTAATAAATCAGGGACAAGACTTTCCAGCTACAATAAAACTCAGCAGGATGGCCTCTGCTCTCAGCCAACACGAAATGTCTTTACTTCCTTTCTCAATATCCTGAAGGTGGCAGGGTAAGGCCTGAAAATACCACTGACGGCAGAGATCCAAGTGCAATTCAAATAATGCCTTGAACTTCTGTTCCTGAAACAAATTACACTGCACTGGGAAAATACATGACGTATAACAGCATTTAGAAAGGAGTTTGCTGTCTGGGGTAGATTCGTTAAGAGAAGGGTTTTTTAATCCTTATTGGAGTAAAGACATATTTGTATGCATGGAATGGATTAAGTCAGTTTAATGACACAGTCAATCTACAGAAAAACATTGCAATCACATGTAAAATAAATACACTTTACACAAGCAGTGTTGCCAAACGTCAGTATTTTTACTGGCAGCCAGTAATAAAAATGGGCACTTTTCTCTTGCCAGTAAATGCCAGTGATAGGTAAAAGTTGTTGGTGAAAAGTATGGCTGTGGCATACTCAGTTACATTCCAGAGCCGGTCGAGACCATCTGAGTGCCTGATACAGTGTGTTCTGGCAGCGTTGGCTGGGGGGGGGGTCTGGCGGAGGTGGTGCCTGAGCGTGTCATGTGATGCCATGGTGCAATGGAGCCGAGTGGAGCAGCCAGAATCTTGGTGATCTGCCAGACAGGAGCAAGGCAGCCAGGTGTGGGACTGTCAGTGCTGTTGGGACTGGAGTGGACTGAAGGGACCACCTGACGTGAAGAGAGACTGCCACTCAGGGGGAGGGGGCATGTCATGTCGGTGAGGTGTCATCATCATCTGTGCTGCTACATACTGCTGTCAGTGTCACTGTAAGGGTCAATTTCATGTGTATCTGCCTGCCCATTCTAATTTCTTGCCCTCCTGAGTCCTGCCTCTGAGCTACTTTCTTATTCTCAAAAATAAAATAAGAAATATATTTTTTGTATATCTAACTTAAATCACATTGCTAATTTCATATTGTACTTGTCTAAATATTGAAATTTGCACTTAAAACTGTGATTTTTGTAACTTCTATATCTAACTTAAATCACATTGCTAATTTCATATTGTACTTGTCTAAATATTGAAATTTGCACTTAAAACTGTGATTTTTGTAACTTTCAAAATGTCAGTAAAAACTTGACTATGCCAGTAAAATGTAGGTGTCGTGTCAATGAATTTCAGTCTGGTAGGTTGGCAACACTGTACACAAGTGATATTTTCTATGAAATATTTATTGCAAGGAACAAAGCTAAAGCTTTTGCAATAAACTACTACATTAACAGCTACATAGGTCAGCTCAGTCTATTCTTGGATTTTTAAAAATATGAAGTAACCTGCCTGGAGTTTGCATGTTCTCCCTGTGCCTGCGTGGGTTTCCTCCGGGTACTCTGGTTTCCTCCAAAGACATGCTGGTAGGTTAATTGGATCCTGTCTAAATTGGCCCTAATATGTGTATGTATGAATATAACTGCACCACCTGCCTGGAGTTTGCATGTTCTCCCTGTGCCTGCATGGGTTTCCTCCGGGTACTCCGGTTTCCTTCCACACTCCAAAGACATGCTGGTAGGTTAATTGGATCCTGTCTAAATTGGCCCTAATATGTGTATGTATGGATGTAAGTTAGGGCCTTAGATTGTACACCCCTTGAGGGTTAGGGACTGATGTGAATGTACAATATATATGTAAAGTGCTGCATAAATTGATATATAAGTACCTGAAATAAAGAAATAAATAATAAAACAACATGGTGCTAGTTAAAAACCTGTGTTAAAAGAAGTTGTCTATTTTTCTATTAAAGAGAACCCTACATTAAAATGCCTTTTGGATCTCCCACCCATGTGAAAACATTTAATTTAAACACTTCAAAAGAGAAAAAGTCACAGCGAAGTGCAAGGAAATCTTCATACAAGATTTGGGATCCTCATCTTTCTCAGGATATTGCTGAAGAAACGACCGTGACATCACTCATACTTAGGTGCTAATGATTACCTGGTGGTAGGGTAAGAATATTTTTCACTTTTTTCCTGATATGTGATCCTTTAAATGTTTCATTCTGGATTAATTTTACATTGGTGGTGGTTTCATTGATAAGGGGAACTTGACGTTTGATACAAGGTCCACTTTAATGTGTATCTAAACCCAAACCAAAACATGCTATACATGGAAGGTTACCAGTCCTTAGATATGCCTGCTGGATTCGTTTCTTTTGTTTTATATTTTCCCATTATTTTCACTTGGTAATGCTGAGAATAGCATACTATATGTCCATGTCTCTTAAGATGGGTACACATTGGTTGAAAATTGCCTGGTTCAGCAGGGACAGGCTGAATTCCAATGTGTGTGTAGCCGTCCTGGTTCAACAAAAGCCAACAGTGTGTATTCAATTTTACACCTCTACAGTATCTATGGAAGAAGCCATGGTGGCCATCCAGTACAACCATGTCTGCGTCCATTTATCTCCATTACATATGGGGTGATGGAGCAGTAGAAGAAAGAAAAGAACAGGAGAAAGATAAAGCTGTTTTGTTTCCAGTTCTGCTCACAGAAAGTGACAAGGGCAATGCAAGATCGATAGGTATTTTCCGTACTTGCTAAAAATGTATCTTAAAAAATGAAAAGTAATTAATTCAAAAGTCACCACATCTAAGGACTGCATTTTTTTTACTGAGTTTTTTTTTATGTATTAAAGACTTTCAGTGTGCCTAGCAGGGGTAAGGGTACAAAACATTGATATAATGATTTAATAGTTTCTTTGGTGACTATGATATACATACTTACGTCAACTCTGCTACTTCTAAAGAGCATACAGATGATGCCAACAAAGGTACCTATGGAAAAAATATCTTCTTAAACAAATTTTGGCATGTTTGGAGAACACTGCTAAAGACACACCATGAGCAATGACTAGTATCTTTCACAAATTTGATTAGCTGGGTTAATTTTTTTTGATTAATCACTGCTTTCTATAGAGATAAGGCAACGCCATGGATTCCAGCATAGACCCCCCTACATCTATAGGTATAATAAATGCACCTGTTTGGCCAAAACAAACATACACATATTTGAAGCCACATGAAAGATCTTTTGGGTATTAAAATTGCCTGCAACTGCCATTTGACGCCTGTAGCTTTCTTGACGTTTTACTCCCATTTTTACTCCCATTTCTTAAGACAAATAAAATCCTCTACTCTTAGTTGCATTCATGGCAAGGATTTCAAAACATATATTTGCTGAATTTTATCTACTGCTTATGTGAGGCTGATATATGGATTCTTAATTCCTGTATGCTACACCCACATGGAAGAAAAATATATTTGAAATATATTTTAAAAATATTCTTCCCAAATATATTGACATATATTTGAAATACTACAATTTTGTCCATATTCAATATATTTAAAAATGTGTTTTTTATTACAAAATATGTGAAAAATATTTTTAAAAATACATTTTCAAATATACTGTATGTCTTTAACCTCTTGCCTACAGGGCACTTATACCCCATTCCTGCCCAGGCCAGTTTTCAGCTTTCAGCACTGTCACACTTTGAATGACAATTGCGCGATCATGCAACACTGTACCCATATGAAATTTTTATAATTTTTTAAGACATATAGAGCTTTCTTTTGGTGGTATTTGATCACCTCTGGGTTTTTATTTTTTTGTTAAACAAACCAAAAACAACTGAAAATTTAGAAAAAAAACGTTTTTTCTTAGTTTCTGTTATAAAATTTTGTAAATACGTGATTTTTCTCCTTCACTGATGTGCGCTAATGCAGCTGCAATGATGGGTACTGATAGGCTGCACTGATGGGCACTGATAGGCGGCACTGATGGGCACTGATGAGGAGGCACTGGTTGGTGGCACTGATGGGCATTGCCAGGCATCACCGATGGGCACTGAAAGGCAGCACTCATATATGGCACTGATAGGCGGCACTGACTGCCACTGATAGGCGGCACTGACTGGCACTGTTAGGTGGCACTGATCGGCACTGTTAGGCGGCACTGATAGGCATCACTAATGGGCACTGATAGGCGGCACTAATGAGCACTGATAGGTGGCACTGACTGGCACTGATAGGGGGCACTGATTGGCAGCACTGATAGGTGGCACTGATTGGCATTGATAGGTGGCACTGACTGGCATTGATAGGTGGCACTGAAAGGCAGCTCAGATGGGCACTGATATGTGGCATTGATGTGCACTGGTAGGCACTGATATGTGGCATTGATGTGGCACTGATGGGCACTGGCAGGTGGCATTGATGAGCACTGACAGCTGGCATTGATGGACACTGACAGTTGGCAATGATGGGGCTACACTGATCATCAGGGCACACTGATCATCAGTGCCCTGATGATCAGTATACATGTCCCTTTTGAGGAATGCTGATTACCGGCTCTCCTCTCCTCACGAGCTGTCAGCGTGACAGCTCGTTGAGGAGAGAAATGCTGATAACCGGCATTTCCTTATTTACATGCGATCAGCTGTGATTGGACACAGCTGATCACATGACAGAGCCGATTTGCTTCGGGGACTCTTTTCCGTTGATTGGTGATCCGCTGTGTCCGAGGGGCCACACACAGTTAGAGTGGGAGGACGTCATGTGACGTCCTCCCAGATTGAGAGAACCGCCTTGCACCTGTCATTTCCTTATATGGCACACGGGAGGCGGTTAAAAATACAAATCTAAATTTTTGGAATGCATTTACAAATATATGTAAAAATATATGTTAAAATGACTTTTTTATATGTTAAGAAAAATCGGAAGAATATATTAAAAAAAAAAAATTTTTAAAAAATATTTTTAATATATTTTGTAATATATAATAAAACGCATTTCAACATGCAGTACAAAAATATTTAAAAAAATATATTTCTTTAAAATATATTCTTCAGATTTCTTTTTACATATAAAAAAAGTTATTTTAAAATATATTTTTACATATATTCGTAAATGCATTCCAAAAATGTAGATTTGTATTTTTAAAGGCATACAGTATATTTGAAATTTATTTTTATAAATATTTTTCACATATTTTGTAATAAAAACGCATTTCAGTATGTATATATATATATATATATATATATATATATATATTATTGAAATATATTGAATATGGCCAAAATTGTAGTATTTCAAATATATGTCAATATATTTGGAAATATTATTTTTAAAATATATTTCAAATATATTTTTCTTCCATATGGGTATTCACATGATCAGTTCCAATACTGTAATAAAAAAATCAGGAAATCTATTCCATGACCAGAAAATGCCACTTTTGGCCAGCTGTTAATGTGCTCTCTATAAGTGAATATTTACCAGAGGTTTTGTAATATAAAAGGCAAAACTTTTCTTCTCCAGGAGCAGAACAAGTAAAACCCTTTAAACAGGTCCCCCAATTTACTAAAGGAAATGAACAAGAGCAAGGATAAATTTCTATGGCATGCTTGCTAAGCATTGAAAGGTGCATGCACCAAGCAAAGCAGCTATTACAAACGACTCTACACTGTGCTGTTGGAGCAAAAAAGCAGTATATGCCAAGGGCGGACTGACCATTTGGAAACTTGGGCACTGCCCGGGGCCCGGGTCAGTAAGGGGCCCCATGAGATGCCCCTTGGTACCTTTTTCATAGGCGTTTTTGAGTTCAGGCAAGGACACAGGGGCCCCATGATCCCCTATTTCCTGGGGGCCCCATGAGTTGTCAGTCCGCCCCTGGTATATGCACAATTATTTATCATTGGAGACCTGTTTGGGGGGTAACAACAGCATGCAAAATCAAATACAGGTACTGTAGCCAAAATGAGCATATCCACACACGATTGATACTTCTAGCACAGCACTATGGATTTTTTTTTTTTTTTACTTTTACTGATTTTTTTTTTGTTATAGTGACTATCAAAGATGTCAAAATGCACCTTATGAGATCTGCATGTAAATTCACCAACATCAGCTACTCATATGTTCTCAAAAACATCACTAGGTGAAGTACCAACAGGCCAACAGGGGTTGATTTAGTAAAACTTGAGCACATAGAATCTGGTGTAGCTGCACATGGTAGCCAATCAGCTTCTAACTTCAACTTGTTCAATTAAGCTTTGACAATAAAACCTGGAAGCTGATTGTTTTCTATGCAGAGCTGCAACAGATTTTGCTCGCTACAGCTTCAGTAAATCTCCCCCACAGTGTCCAGTGCACAAAACACCTAAACAGGGGCGGACTGACCATTTGCAAACTCAAGCACTGCCCGAGGGCCCGGGGTCAGTAGGGGGCCCCATGAGATGCCCCTGGTACCTTTTTCATAGGCTTTTTTGAGTTTGGGCAAGGACACAGGGCCCCATGATCCCCTATTGCCTGGGGACCCCATGAGTTGTCAGTCCGCCCCTGCACCTGAAACATTTGACTCCTATGGGAGGTTTTTAAAAATATGTACAGCTGGAAATTGGAAAAGTAATGTAATTTAAACCAAATAAATTACAAAATCTCTCTAAGCAATTACCTGTGTTTTTTAAATGTTTAACAAAAGAGCAGTTTTCTTTTTAGTAAGTAAAGGTGTCCCTTTTTCATCATGCTTGTGAACTGATCCTGCCAGAATTCACAATTCATTTGGTACTTTTTGTTACCTTAACCACTTCCCGTCCGGCCCATATACATAAATGGCAGGATGGGAGAAGTGCCGAAGTGGGTGGCCATTTATAAACGGCCCCCGCATTCAGTGCCTGTGCGCGCTTCCTGGGAGTGCGTGACACTGCGATCCGGTGTCCCGATCGCTGTACGAGACCTCTGTGTGAGATCCCGATTCATGTGATCCCTGATTGGCCAATCAGTGATCACATGAACAGTAGTAAACAAGATGTCACTTCCTGACATCATTGCTTACTACTTGTGAAATCTGTGAATGATCACAGAGGTCACATGGTACAAGGCTATTCACAACAGCCTTGTACCATGTGACAAGCTGTGACCAATCACAGCTCTCACAGATTTCTCAATGGCTGCAGGAATGCAGCCAGAGAGAAGGAGAAATGATTGCTTTTACAACCTTTTCAGTGTAAAAAATGAAAACAAATCTTCATCACCCCCACAAGTAGTGCAGTGTCACTATGGTGACACTGTACTGCTAGGGGGACGGTATGTTAAAAAACAAAAAACATAAATAATAATATAAAAAATATAAATAAAAATGTAAAACATTTTTTTTTAAATTATAATTTTTGGTTATAAACTAATTTGGGTTATTTTTTTTTTTACTAAAAATATAGCTGAATACATTTTGGCCAAGATTTATGAAGAAAGATTATTTATTTGGAAATTTTATAAGAAAAACACTTTTTTTTTTCAAAATGTTTGGATTTTTCAATTATATAGCAAAAAAAAAAAAATAGACATTCCAGTGGTGAATAAATACCACCAAAATTAAGTTTTATCTGTCTCAAAAAATGCTAAAAAATTCATATGGGTACAGTGTTGCATGACCGCGCAACTGTCATTCAAAGCGTGATAGCACTGAAAGTTGAAAATTGGCCTGGACAGGAAGGGAGTGAAAGTGTCCAGACTTGAAGTGGTTAACTAATGGGAAAGATATCTGACCTCAACTTAGGTGCAGCAGTTTAACAAACATATATCATTTGTGTTAGCTGCTGCCTAATTTATGTGTTTATATCTTTTGCAGTTTCTTTTTGGCTTTTGTGAATTGAAAATTTCTCACAATAAAGATGAAGTTAAAAAAAAACCAAAACATACTGTATACAATCACCTCTAGTATATACTGTATACTCACCCTTGACCCATGTCAAATTTGAGAACTGCACAATCAAGTGACTGCTGAGCACTCTTGGTCTGCTTGGAGTGGAAAGTGACTGTCAGTCATCGCTCTTTGCCCTGCTATTCCAGTGCTGATCCAGCCGGCTCTAGATCTCAGCTGCGCACTGAGAGGTGGAGCCAACTGTCTATTAAGAAGCTGGATGGATTCCGACAAAATTGTCAAGATCTTTCTGCTACATAGCTGTAGCCTGCTTTCAACTGATTCTGGGTCACAGGAGAAGAAAAGTAAATGCACGCCTGTGACCCACAAAAGTACTGTATGACCAAAAACACTAGCCATACTTCTCTTTTAAATACATTTTCTTATGTCCTAACAAATGTGCTCAAAGTGCAAAGAGCAATGTAGCATTTTGAATATTTCCACATCATTAGTATTAGAGAGAGGCAACATGTCATAAAATTGTAGCTGATACCGAGCGCTATTGGTATAGAGCCAAATTAATAGTGACCAGTAAAGTATTAAAAATTAGCAAGAATGATGACAATGTTATCCACATTAAAAAAAGAAGAATTTTGTTATCCACTTGTAAGGCATTAAAACCATTGTTCATAGTCATACGTCCAATGTTCATAGTCATATGTCCAATGTAAAGGAAGGAAAATGCGGGTGGTATAGCCCAAATGTGTGAATGTGGCCAATAAAATTGGCTTACTGCTGAGGAAACAGGTACATCCAGACCAGGGTGCAGGAGGTGGTGGAGAGGAATCCTGTGGGTTACTCTACTAGAAGATAGGTCTCCAACTGTGGGAAAGGTACCACTCACAGAACAAGATGCTGCCACAGATGTCCCCGGAACTCACTCAGTGGAAGTGATGTCAGCACGTACCAGAAGTGATGTCAGTGAAGCGCAGAAACCGGAATATGGACGCTGATGGATGGACAGAGAAGCCAGAGTGCCTGGGGCAGACCACAACAAGACCTGGTAGCTATAATGATGCGTTTCACTGACGCCACTAATGACGATATCACTTCCGGGTGCGAGTTTCGGGGACATCCGTGCAGGATATCCTCTATTCTTGTGAGCAAGCTAGCAGTGGTGAAACGTGTCAAGGAAGATCATTTTCGGGTGGACACATCAATATACGCAGTCTATTTTTGACAAATTAAACACAAAAAGAAGAGCTGCATTTTGGAGTGCAGCTTCTATTTTTTATACTTTTGACTGAGAGTGGAGCTGGGCTGTGAAAGCCAGCACCTAGGTTGTCAGTGTGGGGTGAAATAAGTGAGTCTGGAGCTGAACCATGGGTTTGGGTATGTTCATATAATTTTAAAGATATGTTTGACCACTTCAGAACTTTAAATGTAGGAAATATATCCCAAAAAAAACTTCAACAAAATGTCTAAGATTTATCCCCCTGCCACAGCTCCCCCAACAGTTTTTACAATCAATTACTATCTGTCTACTATAGCAGGAGCAGCTGTGTGACTTTCCAGAAGCATATGATATCAATTAAAGAAGCCTTAGAATTAAATCAATATTGTATTTAAATAAAGTGTATTCCTACCAGGGGCAGACTGACAACTCATGGGCCCCCCGGGCAATAGGGGATCATGGGGCCCCTGTGTTCTTGTCCAAACTCAAAAAAGCCTATGAAAATGGTACCAGGGGCATCTCATGGGGCCCCCTACTGACCCGGGCCCTCGGGCAGGGCGAGTTTCCAAATGGTCAGTCTGCCCGATTCCTACTAATCCCCTTATTAACCCTTCCTTAACCCCAAGTAGCCATAAATAATTCCTTCCTCCCCTTCTCCTTTAGCTTTATTTTTTTTTTTTCTGCTAATAGATTGTTTTATTAAAATGTTTTACCTTTATTATTCAATTTTGTTTTTGTTTTCCTTTATTTTTTAAGCATTATATTTAAAATGCTCAAACTGAACAAGCAAGCCCACATTTATTTTGCAGTTTTTTTTCACCATGCTTTGTGACAAAAACATAATTTTAGTGTCAGTTTAAATGGAACAAATTATAGAATAAACGTCATATGTCCAATGTAAAGTGGGGTGGTTAGCATATTTTAGCTAACACACGTTGAAAAATATATTTTGCAGAACAGGCCCATAGTAGAAATTAAAAAATTGCTGTAGTTCTTAAGGGGGTAAATAGGTGCAAGGTGCAAGAGCAGAAGTGGTTTAAGAACAAAGAAAAATCATAAAATAATTAGTAATATAACAAAAATATAGCACACCCACCACACCCCAAAAAAACCCAATCAAGTCACTAAGCAATCCTTCCCCTGAAGTCTCAAGGGTATACACAGCCACGTGTTCCAGAACCCAAGATGGCCACCACGGCACTTCCGGAAACGTCACTGGACGTCATCACGTCACTACGTCACGTGCCCCAGGCGCGTTTCGTCACATCTGGACTTTTTCAACATCCCTGTTGAAAAAGTCCGGATGTGACGAAACGCGTCTGGGGCACATGACGTAGTGACGTATTGACGTTTCCGGAAGTGCCGTGGCGGCCATCTTGGGTTCTGGAACACGCGGCTGTGTATACCCTTGAGACTTCCAATTTGAGTCTGGAAAGATGGGTTTGACCAAATAATTTAAATATGTTTGAACTAGGAAATATCACCTGGATCTCCTTCAGAGTTGTAAGGCCATTAATTTGAAGCTACCGCTATAGAGTGATGTGTGTCTTGACTGTTTCACTATATGGAAGCTGATCTCATCGTTTTTTAATGTAAGTTGCTACAATAAAATCTGTGTGTTATTTTATACAAACACTGACCCCTGGTCTGTTTATGAGGTCTATGGGAGGTGTCTGGAGAAGATGAGTTATATATTGTCTGGAGGCAATCCCCTATCCTTACTATGGATCCTATGCTGGTTTTATCTATCTTAGGGTAATTATGCACTTTTACTATAATTGTGTGCGGTGGGCCTATTCATTAAATGGTTGCAGTTTGAACACTTCACGATTGCTGTGGCACTTTAGTTTTTTTTTTTCATGTGACACGTGTGGCACTATTATTACAAACTGAGGATAATGCACTATGTTTAGATTTCTTATTTTCGAGGTATGTGAAGATTTTTTGGAGTTCATCATCATATTTGCCTTGGGATCTGGATTATTGTGAAATCACTTGCAAGTGTGGTTTTTGGACTTTATTTTGGACTTTATTTTGGACATTGGGTTGTATTGATATTATTGAGGGTTTATAGGTCATTTATATCAAAGTCTTCTGTATTATTCATAAAATAATTAGCACCTTTCAGTAAAGTAAATGATGCAAATTTAAGGAGATACAGGTCCTCAGCTAATACATACAGTATATGTACCCATTAAATACTTCTGATGGGTTTGGGGGGTAGTTCTGTAAATGCAATGTAACATTATAGAATTTCAGCAAAAAAATAGGTAATACATGAAATAAAAATCGGTAAGTATTTTATATTATTAAAAATATAAAAGATTGGAAAAAAATACACCCACTGTTCACTGGGGCAGGTACTTGCAATCACATGGTCCTCACTAGCGATGTTCTATGTTAACACTGGTTTTATAACGAGGTACATTCTTTGAAGTGAATGTTTAGCTTTGTCACTGACTTTTTACACAGTTTTAAAAGATATCAGCTTGATGTAAATGATGTTATCAGTGTTTGTAAATGTTTTAAAAGACTTCATTTCAATGCAGAGTCTGTAATTTTATGTATGTACTTGGGAGCAGCTGGATTTGTTTGTTACAAATGTAGGCTGGTTGCTTTTTATTGCTCCCTATGAAGCCTGTGTAGTTATCCATGTAACTGGTATTTGGGGCTATTTTGGTAAAGGAGTTGTGAATCTTCACTCAAAAAATGATAAATATTATTTTCAGATATTTAGGAGAAAAGAGTAGAAGTCAAGTATCAGTCAAATACAGAGCTTCCTCTTAGTGGGTAATTGACAAGTCTCTATATTTGATACAAAAGCAAAAACACAGGAAACTAAGATGTATAAAAGATAAATAAAAACTACTTTAAAGTGTTATTAAACCCACAGCAGTAAAATCAGTCTGTATATACAGTAAAGCATGCTTGTTACACTCACTGTGGAACCTAAGGGGTTAATCCTTTGCATTGTGTAAAACAAATGTTTGATTCTGTCTTCTCTGATCCTCCCCTTCTTCTATTGCCTCCAATCCATCTGCTGATAGAACAGAGCCCTGGGGGCAAGCTGCACATTCTCAGTTCGATGTACATTGCTAGAGAGTTTTTTTTTTTCTTGGGAGAGTGCATGTGACCAGCACAGGGCCAATCAGTGCTGTCCAGACAGAGGGTCAGGGGTCATGCAGCCTTAAAGGACAATCAGAGGAGAATGAAAACTCCTCCTACAAGCTTTAACCAGTGCTCTGCTGGACACTGGTAGACGTCACAAGGCTGCTCTAACTGCAGATGGGAAAAGGTTTTTAGCAGTTTATATTTACTAAAATAGTTGCATTTCCATGTTCTGTGTACTGTGGGAGACAAGATATAGTGAATGCAGGGTCCTGGGTTTAGTAACAAGAAGACCAATAATATGTGCTCATTTAGGATATAAACACACTTTCTGACTCATTTAAAAGATAAGTTCACCTTTTCTAAAAAATACCTAAATCCGTTTGCAGGTAAAAAAAAGTCCATTTATTATTTTTTTTATTGGAAGCCTGTAAAGCATTGCACCCGTGATCAGCAGATTGTGGGTGTTATGCAAAGCTTTTGCAGACTTTGTGTGTAAGCTGTCTTTCGTACCTTGAGCTGTCCGCTCCAGCAGTCAGTTACATGCTGACAGGAATCCTGAATGAATACCACAGCGCTGAACAGTGCCATGTAGTTCATTATGAGAACTACAAACCCCACAGCCACAAAGGTCAATGATAGTTGTAGTTACATTTCCCATTCACAGACGAATAATAATGAGTGACACAGCTGGGTGGGCGGAGCTCCGCACGGCCCCGTATTTTTTGGATTAGTGGCAGCAGACACTGGTGAGAAGATCCCCGGGCTGCTATCACAGCTGAGGCTTGGGGGTGCGGGGGCAGCTGCAGCAGTAACATGTTACAATTTGTTACACCCTGAGTATGGGTGTAAATCATGTTAGAAAATGTGAACTGATCCTTTAACCACTTCAATACCGGGCACTTATACCCCCTTCCTGCCCTCGCCAATTTTGGCAGCTTTCAGCGCTGTCACACTTTGAATAACAATTGTGCGGTCATGCAACATTGTACCCATATGAAATTTTTATCATTTTTTTTGATCATTTTTTTCACACAGAGTTTTGTTTTGCTGGTATTTAATCACCACTGAATTGTTTTATTTTTTGCTAAATAAAAGAAAATCACCTGAAACGTTTGAAAAAAAAACACACTTTTCTTCATTTCTATTATAAAATTATGTAACTAATTAACATTTCTTCATAAATTTAGGTCAAAATGTATTCTGTTACATTTCTTTGGTGAAAATAATAATAATATTAATAATTGGATTTGTATTTTTTTTTTTCAAGTGTTTTTATTATTTTTCTATTTTTTATAAAAAAATTTCTTTTTTTTTTACTATTTCATTTTTCAGCACACTGTGACCAAACAATACAGTGTTACCATAGTAACATTGAACTATTCTGGGCAATGATCAGGATTTTTTTTTTAACACATTATGATTGCTAATACCAATGTATTTCGTTGATATTTGCAATCATTGTTACTGAATTAAACTGATTAATTTATTTTTTTGTTGTGATTAGCTGTGATTGGGCAAAGCTGATCACATGATACAGATGGGATGTGATTGGCCCTGTCTGTATCATGTGACTGCCTTGACCATTCACAGCTAACAACATAATTGTATACAATGGATGGCATGACAGTAAGCCATCCATTGTATACATTTGACATGTGATCTGCTGTGATTGGTCACAGAAGTCACATGACACTGGTAATGGGCCCTGGTGTAGTGATATGTCATCGGCTGTATCCCGTGAACACAGCCGGTGTTACAGATCGCGCCACTGTGCAGCCCCATGGCCGCGTGAGTGGCTCGTTTTGAAAGGATGTCGTATGATGCCTAGTCACAACGGCGAGTTTCCCGCCCGGCCATCAATCTGCTATAGGCCGGACGGGAAGGTGTTAAATTACTGTGCTCTGTCTACCTTGTAGATAAAGTGTAGAAATGACTCACCCACCCTTTGGTATATCGTAGTAAAATAGAAATAGTATCATGAAGACTGTATATATGGAGGTGGCCCCTTTACATTTCTGCCTAGTAAAGCCATACATGGATCAAAATACGGTCTGTTTCACCAGGGACCAGACAAATTTCAATCTATGTATGGGCAGGCTGGATCAATTTGGGTACAATCAGCCTGTCAGATTTTTCTGAATGCAAGTGGCTATGGTGGAAGAAAAGAAAATCAATTAATCTATGGCTTGCTTAAGACAGTTTGCCGACTCTGCCTCAGACCAAACTGTTGCTGTCCTCCACTTGCAGTTTACTTCTTGGTGTGCAGAGCCAGGGTCAATGAACTATAGGTGCTCAGCATACTTTTCCACCAACTGGGCAGGTACAACTCATAACAATGAGGCATGGAGCTTTTTATCATCAATAGGGATGTGATACTAACATATGGACAGATGTGTGTTAGCCTTGGCAACTCTGCGACCTTGTATTTGTTGCCTAAGCAAAAATCTGGCCCTTTTGGTGTCACTGACCTCCTCCTGAAAAAGTTGTCTGGCTGTTACTGTTTTTAATACCTTGAGTCACCAGTCCCAAACAAGTATGCAATAAATGTGGTAGGAGTGAGGTTGTGACTGAATACCTACAATAAACAGTACAAATTCATTCTCCAAGGCTGCCGCCAATTCTGTATTCAATTTTTTTCATTTGTGAAAATATGAGGGGCGACTGAAAAGCCTACCCATGAAGCATTTGTCTTAGCCCAATTTTATTTTTGCTACTCATAGTACATATCTTTGCAAGCTTCCATACCAAATGTCTCACAAATAACTTTTTTTTTGTTTCAGTTATTGAAGACTGAAGCGCAGAAGGTCATCATTGTCTGAAAGATGGAGAAAGTGAGCAAACGTGGTGTTATCCAATACCTGCTGCCTGTCGCGTTTGTTTTCAACAGTCAATATTCTGGGGACCCACCTACTTGACACCTTGTGCATGTCCAGCACTACTGTTAAAATGTATCCAACACGTTCCTGGGATATGCCCACTTTCTCTGCGATGAAACGTTCTGTCACGCGCCTATCTGCCATTACGAGATTGCTGTGATTTTTCCTCCGTACAGGCAGTTGTTGGCCTTCCACTGCGAGGATACTGCACCTTGGACAGAGGGAAGTTCCCCTTCTTCAATTCCGCCAACCGCTTTTTAACAGTGTAATAGGAAGGGGCATCTTCCCCTAATGTTTCCATCATATCCTTGTGGAATGTCCTGTCCACTCATTCCCTTTTTCAGCAGGTATTGGATAACAGCACGTTTGCTCACTTTCTCCATTTTTTTTCAGACAATGATGACCTTCTAATTTTACGCTTCAGTCTTCAATAATTGAAACAAAGAAAAAAGCTATTTGGGAGAAATTTGGTATGGAACCTTGCAAAGATATGCACTATGAGTAGGAAAAATAAAATTGGGCTAAGACAAATGCTTCATGGGTAGGCTGAGAACTTTTCAGTCGCCCCTCGTATATTGATGTTATGAGAAATTCCAGCCCAATATTTTACAAATGAGTTAGAACCTTTATCCGGTTTTCATTGCTGTGTATGTGTTAGGGAGATCTGTCCTGATTTGATCATCTGTCGTCGGGGGCAGGAAGTGGCACAAAACAAAGAGAAAAACAGAGGTTGGATCTCTTTTCCACTATACTAAAAAATTATTTATATTTGTTCTTGTGCCCTCCCCGTGTCAATTACCACCTTTCATCAGGGAAAATCTGAATGAAAATTCAGAAGTAATAAAAACCTACCCTTTCCCAACAATATCCAAGAAAAACCAACAGAAAAAAAAACCTTGACTGTCATTCGGCTTATGCTAATTAATTTGTTAATTAAAAAGATATTCCAAAGTTTCTCTATATGTAACTACTAGCATATAATATATTTCATTTTGAATGTATAATAATAAATATATGATTAAGGTTTCCCATAGTATACTAAAAGTAACCATATATTTTTTTGTTGTGATAAATAGTGGTTCAATAACCATGTTGTATTTTCTGTACAATTAGACTTAGCGTGGAAGCCATGTTTTCGACTTTAAAGAACCTTTTTATCGTATAAACCTCTTATTGGATAAAGTTTATCCACATGTCTAACATGTGTAACACTGTGTTATTCGATTGCAAAAACACAGTGCTACTACACTTCACTTCAGTGCCAGGCCTTACTGGACATTTTGGGTTGATTTACAAAATGCAAACAGGCTGTTCACTTTGCAAGGGAATTTTCACTTAGCTTAGAGAATGTGGTGAAAAATCACTTCACAAATACTACTCAATAACAAGTAGGGAGAATAAAAAAAAGTTTTTTTGTTTGCACATGACTGGATGACGGAAGTCAGCAGAGCTACACCTTATTCATTAAGCTAAAGACAAACTCCCTTGCAAAGCAAAAATTCCCTTGCACAGTGAACAATCTATTTCTTTTCAGTAAATCAATCTCTCTGTGTGTTTTTAAAATATGTTATATAGCAATCCAGCCTTTTTGGTATTGCTCAAAAACGTTAAATAAAACATACAAAATAAAATCTTTTAGGATAACAAGAGCTCACAATAAAAAGTTTTATTTTATGTTGAGGAGTACATTGGCTGATACGGCGATAATAGGGTTAACGAAACAGCAGTACACTGATCTGTGCATGCTGCCTTAACTGTGTTTAGACCTGTAGATCAAAGCAATTATGAGCCATTACAAGCCTTTAAAAAGGCCTGCGCTCTTAGAAACATGTGCTAAAGATCACTTTTATAAATTCTTCCCGCCTGGTAATCACTTCATCTCCTTCTCTTTCATTCACTTAAATATTCATTCGATGGAATATTTAACATGTTGCAATGTAAAGTCAACCACGTTAAAGTCCAGGTTTTCAGCATGACTCTCTGCAGCAGACAGACATATTGATTTTATTTTTTAATATAGCCCCAACATATTCGACCGCAGTACTGACAACCATAAACCATTTCATCAGTTCTTGCATCTTCAGAGCTTACAATCTGATTTTCTACATAGTCATATGGGTACACATGATCAATATAAGCAGA